TTAGAAAAAGGCCCTGAATTTGTTCTGCGCAGCGCAAGCAAATGTAATAACATGCTTGCGCTGTGTTTGCTTTTAAATTGTCTCTGGTGTCTCAACAAGTGGGATACCAGAGGACAAAAGGGCCAGGAAAGTGTATGGTGCATGTGTTTGGAGCCTGCTTGTGGGATTGCGTGTGTGTAGAGTGTGGTGTGGTATTGTGTAAATAGGTCAATTTCATATGTGTTTGTGGTGTAATATGTGTGGCTAGGGGCTGTAGAGAGTGTGTGTATAGGTGGCATAGTGTTATAGGGGATGTAGCGAGTGTGTGCATACGGGCTGTAGTGTGTGGGTATAGGTGATGTAGTGTGTGTAGGGGTTGTAGAGAGGGTGTGTTTAGAGAAAGTTGTATGTGTTTGCTGACAAGGAATGTAGTGTGTGTGTAGGTGGTGCAGTGTGTGTGTAGGAGATCTAGTGTGTAAAGGACCCAGAGTGTGTATAGGAGATTGTGTGTGTGTGTATAGAGGATTAAGAGTGCATATAAGGTAAGGGATCTAGCGTGTATCTGGAGCGTAATGTATGTAGTGCTGTAGTGTGTGTGTGTGTGTGTGTGTGTATATATATATATATATACATACATATATATTTGGACGTATTGTATGTGTGAGGGGCGCAGTGTGTGTGTATGTAAGAGGGGTGCTGTGTGTGAGGGTGTTTTTATCTGCCGTCAGATTCTAATTTTCTTTGTCTGTTAACTCACTGAGGGTTATTTTATATATATATATATATATATATATATGTGTGTGTGTGTGAGCGAGGGTGCTGTGTGTGAGTGAGGGTGCTGTGTGTGAGTGAGGGTGCTGTGTGTGAGTGAGGGCGCTGTGTGTGAGTGAGTGCGCTGTGTGTGTCTGGGTGCGCTGTGTGTGTCTGGGGGTGCTGTGTGTGTCTGGGGGTGCTGTGTGTGTCTGGGGTTGCTGTGTGTGTCTGGGGGTACTGTGTGTGTCTGGGGGTACTGTGTGTGTCTGGGTGCTGTGTGTGTCTGGGTGCTGTGTGTGTCTGGGGGTGCTTTGTGTGTCTGGGGGTGCTGTGTGTGTCTGGGTGCTGTGTGTGTCTGGGTGCTGTGTGTCTGGGGGTGCTGTGTATGTCTGGGGGTGATGTGTGTGTCTGGGGGTGATGTGTGTGTCTGGGGGTGATGTGTGTGTGTCTGGGGGTGATGTGTGTGAGTGTGATTTTTTTTAATTTAAATTTTTTTTTTTTTAATTAATAATAATAATTTTAAAAAAAAAGTTATATCCCCCCCCTCCCTTCTTACCTTTAGCCTGGGAGGGGGGGGCCGTTTTGCCTGGGACGGGGGGGGGGGCCGTTCTGCCATGGGAAAGGCCTTGCTGCCTGATCCCTGGTGGTCCTAGTGGTGAGCGTGAACTCTAGCCTGTAGGCTAGAGTTCACTCTCGCGAGATCTGAGCGTTGCCGCGGTAACCGCGACAACGCTCAGAATCCCGCGAGAGGACCCGGCGGAGCTGCTGGATAGAGCTCCGCCGGTCCTCTCCTCCCTCCCTCACACCCCAGCAAGCGGCCGCCTGGAAGTGTCTCTGGGCCGGTAAAGGGAGATCTTTGATCTCCCCACCGGCCCATGGAGGCACACAGCGGGGCCGGCGCTCGGGTAGCGCTGGCCCTGCAGGAGCCGGCCGACAGGATCTCCCCTGCCGGCCTCGGCCCCACGGCCATCGCGGCCCACCGGGCATTTGCCCGGTATGCCCGATGGCCAGTCCGGGCCTGCTAATACATGTATTACTATAATATCCTGTCCAATTATATTTCCATGAATCATATGGTTTCTAGCAACCTTAAAATCTTTAGGTCATTTGTATTCATGAATTACATTCCTATACCATTAATACCATCTAGTGATGATTGTATCAGTATATTACAATCATATTATTTAATTTGTATATTCAGTAGGCTCTAACTACCTAAAATATATCAACACTACTTATAAGTCTCATTCAAAGGATGTGTTATCAACCATGAAGTTCTATAATAATTCTTCAAATAATGTTCATGGTGTTGACAATACTTATTGTCCTAGATATTCTCCACCCAGAAATCTTTCTATCATAGATTTGTTTTTGTTCACATAATTATAATTTTCACTAAGATTCCACCTTGTTGTAACAAACTTTACATTCAATCGGAGAATGGTTTACTTTAAAAGAACTTGGAAAGAATACTTTAAATTAATTATCATCACTCTCCTCATTAGACCTTAATTGTGATGACTTATTAATGTAATACATCTTAAAAGCAGGATTGTCCTAATGTTCTGACCAATCCATATTCCTTAGTACACTTCAACTGACTAAAATAAAATAAACAAAAATAAACTTGGGGTCATACTGCCCAGAAACTCTTATTCCTAGTCTGTGTCTAACAAACTCAGGGTAATCATAAACAACTTAACAATGTATTCATTGGATACCATCATATCCAGAAACCTATTCTCCCTAGTCCATACCTTTATAGACTTAGGTCAAATATAATTGTGTACTATACTCTTTCCATTCAATTCAATTCCTCTTGGATCTTTGAACTCTTATATCCAAGGCTTTCTTAATGTATATAATTACTTAATATAAATCAATATAAATTATTCTTCCTTAGTTTTCTTCCTTATGTTACCATTGTTTGTTTTACTTCACCTCGATATAAACAAATTACTCATTATAGTTAATCTATGAAATACTATTGAACTCAATCTTTGTGGTATTAAGTAACCATGATCCTTATTTTATCAACTTCATATTTTATCTACCTCTGATACTTCTCATTCTATGTATAGGTAATAATGTAATAGTTCTCTTCATAATACTATACTTTCGTAATTGTACTCCATGTGTTATATAGCTATAAGTACTCTCTTTTGGTATTAATACTCATAACCGTTAAATAACTTTTAATTGTCTGTTTTCTTCTTCATTAATATTTAGGAATATATATGTATGTTAGTGTCAATCTTTTATTTCTTTTTTAGTCTGTTAATCTTCTGTATTGAATGAACTCTGTAGAATCTTCCATCACAGTTTGCAGATCAGATGAAAAGTCTCTTTCCAACAGTCGATGTCCAGTTGTCTGAAGGAATGCTTTTCTGATTTATTGCCACAAGGATCTGTCACGCTTTACCTACATTAAAACAAATAACATGTGCAGCATCAATACAATGGCTTACAATGTTTATATCTCATTATTATTATTATTATACAGTTTAACATTGAATTACATGGACTACACAAAACATACTCATTTCTTCTCATGAGATCTACCATCTAGTGGTCATTACATCTATGCGATGTAATGTATAATCTTTAAATTTCCTTTATATTAAAATCTTTCTGAACATTTTAATTTTCTATTTTTTTTATTAATCATACCTTATTAATCATACCCCCCTTTAAACTGTTTAATAATCTGGAGGTATAACCTAATCACATATCAGATGTTACAACAAAATATTGTTTTCCACTATACTTTAGCAATAGCAGCCATCTTGTTTTAACACTGGCACCATTTTGTCACATGAAACAAACTACAAAAACATATATTGTTTCCTTCATCAAATGTATTTGTAAATCTAGGTTTTATTCTATCAAAACTTTTGTCTTCTATATAATCAAAACATATGTATGTCCAGGCATTGCAAAATATAGTAATCCATTATCAGTCATGACATTAAAATCTCATTCTCATGAATTAAATCAAAGATTTTAAATCAACCTCAGAAGTAACATTGTTTTTTCCTTCTGTAAAATGATTGGAGTTACTGTATAATCGCATACACCCAATATAACCTTGCATGTTCCTAACTGCTACATTAGTGTATTTAATTCTGTCATATTTGCAAACTTGATGTAAATTTTTATTTCCATTAATTAACCTAATACTTTCTTATAACACACATAAAACAATGAAAAAACAGTTCAGACTAACAATTCATTAAAACAACAAACTAACATAGATCTCTATTCTTGTGCTGTTTTTAATTCTGGAATCAGCTTGTGTACATCTGTTGGCATACATATCCATGCTTATTCCCTAAACTGATATTTCTTGAAGTTATCTGATTCTTATAACTTTCTGTGTTATACTGCATTGCTTGTCTGTCTCCTAATTTCGATTTAGCTAAAATTGCTTTTATTTGTCTGATTATAAGTTTACAATGAAAGGCTTTAATTGATTTATCTCCACATGTATTTTCTCTGTCAAAATTTTCAATCAACAAATTTAATTTCTCATTTGCTTTTGATTTGATATCTCGGATAAAATATCTGCAAGATCTTAAATAATGTTGTTTATTGCACCACAAACAAATAAATTTAGGGGTTATATTCTGTCTTTGATTAACTCTACAATTTCTAGTTGAATAAATTGGGAGGGGCTCAGATGTCTGTATCACTCTACACTCTGTCCTAGAAGAAGAAGGAGGAGGGCTGTAAAATCTGCACTTCTTCCTCTGCCTAAATCCACAAGTCGTTTTAACCCCTTCATTATTGGTTTCCCTCCTTAAGTTATCCAAGAACAAAGCTACTTCTGTCAAAGTGCTTTTTTCTCTAGCTGACACAATTGCAGTTGGATCTAGATCTTGAAATTTTTTCACAAATTCATTAATTAACTGATCTTCAGAAAAATCAGCAACAAGTCTATATGCACTTTCAAATTTTGCAAGAAAACTAAATATATCCTCTCCTTTGTGTGGTTTTAGTTTTTCCAACATTTCAGTGTCTGCAAAATCATTCCCTGTTATTTTTATTAATTGTGTTAATCTGTCTTGCTTATTTCCATATATTATTTCATCATTGTCCTCACATTTTACAGGCGCGGTCAGCCTACATGCCATTTGAGTCGGCAGCCATATTTGAAATAGTCTATTCCTTTGTTCGTCATTTAGGCTGTATTTGTCCACATTTGACTCAAACATTTCAGCATTAGTAAATGCATCCACTGACGTGTCATAAACTGGAATACATTTCACAATTTTCATTAATTGTTCATGGATCTTCAAATTAAGTTTTGCAGTTCTGTCTTGAAATTTGCATTTCTGCAAATCACTCTGTGAGGATACATTTTCAGTATCTATTGGTTCTGGGATTAGATTCTGTGCCTTTATTTTTCTTGTATTAACACACACTTGCTTAACTTCATTTGTAAACTGGCAAATAAGATCATTTCTTAGTTCAACTCTATCCTCTAATTCACAGACTTTTTCTGACAATGTTCTCTCACAATTACATTGTTACACTGTTCATTTAAATCTGATTTGTCTTCTGTTAACCCATTCAAATCTACTTCTTTTTCTGCTAATTCTAAATTGTCTTGACCTGCATCTCGTTTACAAATCAATGCATTGTAAGTAAAGACTAGTTTCATAACATTTCTGATATTTTGTTTCTTCTTATTAACAAACAATTTCTTGTCAATTTTACTATTGGCAATTTCACATTGTGTGTATAAAGATTGCCACAATACAGCATCTGAATAGCTGCTATTAAATGCAAACTGCAATTTACTTTTCTCTGCAATATCATTTATGAATTCCATGTTACTCACCAGATCAGTTATCTCTGTCTATTTCGTTGCTTCATCCACACAGCTGCGCAGTTCTTTGCTTGAATCTGGAAATTTGCCAATCTCTGCCACGTGCTTGCTTCTAGATTTCACGTTGTATCTTGTGCTTTTTGTCTCAGTTGTAGAAAATAGTCTTGTACAGTCTTTATGATTTGAAAACTCTATTTTTCTTACAAACCACAGTTCATCTATGATAGTCAGTCTAGATTCTTTTTTTCTCTTCAAGTTTGTTTTCCCAGTTCCAAAATAGCTTTGTAACTCGATTCTTCTCTCTCCCCCCTTGAAGTGGGAACAAAACTTGAATAGAAGACTGGCTGGCTAGCCAATGTAAAAAACTAGATGAATGGATGTTCAATGTTGATGATTCTTAATTTCTTCTTATCTTCAGTTGATTGATATATATACGTCTTTTGTATATATAATCTTGGGCCAAATGCTCGCCACAATAATATATGTCTATATTATTGAAAAGTAGTAATACGCAATCTGACTTCCGGTTTCTTCCGGTTTATTCTTTGTTACGGATACATAATAAAGCATAATAAATGATGTTACAGGATTATAGACATTCAACAGCAGATGGTAATTGCTGGACTTCTGATGGGAGAGTTACATCGTTGTACAGAGCCAAGCCAAGACAGGACTAAGACTGAGAGACCTCGTGTCCCTCTGTTACTATATAGAAGTGCTAATAGTAACGTCAGCATATAACTCTAGCCATATAAGGACAAAACCCCCAAATCCACATTCCAGAGCTCTCGGACAAAGAAAGCCTTGTGACTTATTGATACCATCTGTTACTTATGTCAATCCACACATCCATATATAATCAATAGAAACATAGAATATGCAATATTCTACACCATTAATGTGTGTCGGGCCCGGTGTCAATCGGAGAGGCATTTGATAATGTCGGGGTTGGAGGGTACCGGTCAATTGTCGGGTTAGTATGGGGCTTCGTTGAGGAAGGTCAGTTATGGGTTCCGGTCGAGGGGTAGTAAGACGAGGGGAGGGGGACGCTTTTTCTTTACTGAAGTGGAGGTTGGTAAGCAGAATATTCCGGGCCGGGCTGGGAGGAGCCTGACCAGGAACCAGAAATGACGTCAAATCCGGATAGGTGGAGTTAGTGGGGGTAGGTACAGGAAGTGGGCTAGACTCTGAGCTAGAGGATGGGGTAGGAGGAGACAATGGGACAAGGGGAGTGGCATTACTGGCCGTACCTCCTCTTCCTCTTCCTGTAGAGGAGGAGTAAGGGGGCGGCAGGGCCGGACTGGCCCACCGGGATACCGGGAAATTTCCCGGTGGGCCGTCGGCACCTGGGGCCGGGCAGCCAGCTGGCTCACCTGCGGCCGCAGAGGGAGCTCCTTTGGCGGCCGCAGGGTTTGCTGGCTGTTCTTGCGGCCGCAGGTGGAGCTGGCTGTTGTGTCTCTGCTCCCCCGTCATATTCCGTCTCCCGTCTCACTGTGCGACGCGCAGGGGAGGGGATAGCAGAGACACAACAGCCAGCTCCCCCTGCGGCCGCCAGAAGAGCTCCCCACAGGTAGAAATTGTGTATGTGTGTGTGTGTGTCTGTGTCATTTGTGTGTGTGTCTGTCTGTCATGGTGTGTGAGTGTCTGTCTGTGTCAGCAATGTGTGTCTGTGTCATTGTTTGTGTCTCTGTGTCATGGTGTGTGTGTCACTGTCTGTCATGGTGTGTGCGTCTGTCTGTGTCATGCAATGTGTGTCTATGTCATGGTGTGTGTGTGTCTGTCATGTAATGTGTGTCTGTGTGTCATGGTGTGTGTGTGTCTGTCATGTAATGTGTGTCTGTGTGTCATGGTGTGTGTGTGTTTGTCTGTGTCATGTAATGTGTGTCTGTCTGTGTCACGGTGTGTGTGTGTCTGTGTCACGGTCTCTCTGTGTCGTGGTGTGTGTGTCTGTGTGTCACGGTCTGTCTGTGTTATGGTGTGTATGTGTGTCAATGTGTGTGTGTCTTTTTTAAGGTGTTTGTCTGTCATGGTGTGTGTGTGTGTGTCTGTCTGTGTCATGGTGTGTCTGTCATGGTGTGTGTGTGTTTCTGTCTGTGTCACGGTCTGTCTGTGTCATGGTATGTGTGTGTGTATGTGTGTTTTTACTCACTTTTTTTTTCCCACGTCATGCTGGTCTCCCCTCGCCCTGCCTCTACGGCTGAGATCATGAAGCTTGATGATCTCAGCCAATCCGCACTGACACAGGAAGCACCTCTAGTGACCGTCTGAGTGTCTGTCACTAGGAAGCAATGTAAACACTGCCTTTTCTCTTAAAAGTCAGTGTTTACATTGAAAAGCCTGCAGGGACAGGCTATAGACACCAGTACCACTACATTAAGCTGTGTGTGTGTGTGCGCGCGCTTGCTTGTGTGTGTGTGTTTGTGTGCCTGCTACTGAGTGAACTTGTGTTTTTATGTCAATAACCTTATGTATGAGGCTGTGTATCAATCAGCTTGTCAGTGAGATTGTCTGTGTATGCATGTGAGTATGCTTACTGTATAATTAAAAGGACCAATATTTTATATTGGAAAAAGATATATAAAACAACACAAGGTCAACGTTTCAGCTTGATCCCCTCAAGCTTTCATCAGGAGATGTCCTGACGAAAGCTTGAGGGGATCAAGCTGAAACGTTGACCTTGTGTTGTTTTAGTGGAGGTAATAAAAGTTATATTTTATATTAGTCCTTGGAGTGCTATCTCTGGCAATATTTTTTGCATTTTTGGCTGACAAGCACCGGGCATTGAATATTGAATTGGTGGAGTGCAAGATCCGTTTGGTTTTTTATATATATATATAATCATCTAGGGTTGCAAGACATAGCCTTACATATTACATGACTTATGGGGCTGGCATAGATTTTTTTTCTAGGGCTGCTTTGGAATCCCCAGTCCGGCCCTGGGGGGCAGTAAAGGAATCTCTGACTCAGGGGGCTGTCCAGAATGGGCGTGATCAAGTCCTTGGTGGACAAACGAGTTCTGGCCAACAGGAGGCGGCATTGCTCCTCTTGGCACACCCTGATCCATTTTGGCAAGTCATCCACGGCCTGTTTCCAACAATCAATATATGGAAACTGGTCGTAAAGTTCCGGCCTACCAGATACAGCTACGTGTACACGCTGCACTAGATTAGGATCAAGACTACCACGTGGAGGCCATGCAACAACTAAGGCAGACCATTCCCTGCTACATAAAGTAGTCAAACATGTTGGAGACATCTTTACCCCAAAATCACATACATTATATCCCTTTTTAAAATTCTTTAACATACAATCTAAGGGATCAACGATCTTTGAATCCAACCCGTCTACCCGTCTATAACACACCCTAGTAACATCGTCTTTACAAACAGTAGTTATAGTACGGTTAGCATTGGTTAGAATACAATTTTAAAGTCACAGGTCAGTTAATAGTAGTTATGGTGTTAAACATACAACATAAACGACAGTTATTAGTGATTATTTACAGTATCAGTGATTATAATACATGCTTATGGTACCGTGCGCTATGATACAGTTACACACTATTCACACTCTCGCTAGACGGCAGAGCTCACGCTACCCAGCAAGATATACACTCTACTATAATAAATTTTAACACATTTACAGTTTCCCAACTAATCTATTGGACAGTACCTCGAGGGACTACCTAAAACTATTTACATCCGTTTTGGTTAGCCGCCGCTGCCCAAGCACCACATATAGCGAACTAGAGGGCGGAATTTACAACAATACCCTTTTAGTCTGTCTACTCTATCAATAGTCTAGTGGGTTCCAAATTTACACGCCTTCCCACTTAGCCAAGATAGGTTGAGAACTAGCAAACGATAATGTACACCAGAGTCTGCTTAGTCTCCCGGTCCCTCCAACCTAGCGAACGAAATGTACACCCTAGATACGCTAGTCTAGACAAGACACTGGTGTCCGGCTTGGGCTATATACATTCAACCAAGACCCAGCCTGACTCCATACCAAGATTAGACGGGCTGACTACAGGGTGTCTAATTATGAGCGGTGCGCCTTCGCTCCTTCCCTCCCTAGAAGGGGCCAATTCCATACACAATTCCAATTCAAACCCCTTATGGGCCTACCGCACAATCGGTATCCAATACCCCTAGTGGGTCCACCGTCTAAAACAGTAGTCGTCTTACCTCCTCGTTCCTGAACCTGAGTTCACACTCATCGACGGGGACACCCCAGTACTTCCTACGTAGAGGCCGATGATCTCCTGGACAACAGACCAGTGGCGCCGAGACGAAGGGAGGCCCACGCAGAAGTTCAGGGGTACAGCCGTAGAGAACGTGGGCAAAGAGACCATCTCATGCCTCTGCTTCCTAGCCACCGTTAAGGACGAGCTTCCCGGCCAATGCACCAAAGATGTTACCGGGAAACTGACGGAGGCCAAGCACAGAGAGATGGACACAGGTTTCTTCAGGAAGGAAGAGATCTTTATTCGATTCACCGACCGGGACTCAAAGGGACTTATGTAACCAAAAACAGCAAAGATCTGAGCACCGAATACATAGAGTACATTCCTTATATAGCACTGTAGCTCCTCCCATAAATAGCTACGCCCACACATACCCTTAACCTAATCAATGAATAGAGTCCTATCTCATCCATCCGGTCTAACCACGTGGCTCATCTGAAACAAAGGAGAGGAACGCGTAATTCCAGTTCCTGCATTCCTGCACATGCTCAGTACAGTGATGACAGTATCTTAGCTACGTGTAACTAACTAACTGATACTACAAACACATGTACCTACATATGCCTTGTGGCAATCTTGGCCTGCTAAACTTTTATTTTACTGGAATTCCATCACAGCGGAGAGGTAGTATAATCCACAGTATCTCCGCTAGGTAACAGGAACAGCATAAAATAATCCAAGGACATAAATACAGCACACAATAATCCCAGTAGCATTGTACGAATCCTTCCTTCCCAGGAACTAGATGACACATAGGCTGGCAGTCAACTGAGCTTTTAATCACAGGTCACTGTATTTATGGGATTCCCCATGCAAGGGGTTTCCCTGTGACGGACCGCTGACACTACGACTGAGTACCTCCGCCAATCCTAGTGCTCGCTGAGGACTCCAAGCACTCCAACTGACACCATCAGCACTGCAGACCCCACTTCCAGCGATGCAGCTGCGCCGGGGTCTCGCTGTCTCCACCCACCCTGGATCCAAGGCCAGGATCCAGCTTCCAGTGGGTTAACCTCTCTTTCCCCAGAGAGCAGGAACAGGAACAAGCTCTTAGCAGAACTTAGTGATCATACCCTGGGGAGTATAGTGATTATAGCAATCCCCAGAGTGTAGTTCTCCAATCCCCCAAACATGAGCCAAGGCTTCAAGAAAGGTACAAGATGATCTGACTTTTAATGACCACACACTGGCTTTTATGCAAGTCCCCATGCAAGGGGACATTCCACAGGGTGAGACACAGTACAACCAATCATTTACAGGAAAACCGTAAAACACACCCAGCACAAACATACATCCCTCCCCTCTGCCTGTGATATAATTACTGAACACAATGGGTTAATGTAATTTATCACAGGCTGGAAAAATACACTTTTTACACATATACTGTAACTTTAAAAATATGCATCATATTCACATAAAACATACATATTCAGAATCAGCATTCTTTAAATATAAACATAACAAAAAATCATGCAAATCCTTCCATTAGTTCAAAAGTTAGTCTAAAGTCCTTTGTGACCAAATGAAGCATGGCTTTTCTGCCCAAAACCAGTTCCACAGAGTCTTCTGTCCTGGAGACAATTGGGAAGTAATCCAATTATCTCCAAAGACAGAGGAAAAACTCCATTGAACACATGGTTGCAAAAAGACATAAAATTACACAATGTTATAATTACTACATAAAACATATACATGCAACATATCCCCAGATAGCTTAGAGCTGAGTGCACATTATTACGAAATGGCGCTCAGATCACATACATACAGTTCAATCGCCATGGAGCCAAAGTCTTTTCCATAGTCTTTTGTTACACAAATAGGCTCCATGGCATAGCTATCTGGGATAGCACTACTACCATACTGAAAGTCCAGAATGCCCGGGCAGAAATACACAAATAAACCTTTCTGCATGGGAAAATACAGCTATCAGCACATGGGCCATAGTCAGAAGGCAGGAGGCTAGCCAGTAGTCCCCTCCAGGCACAAGTGACGAAGGGCACTTCGTCACATTCCCTACTGACATTCCAGGGGTGATACAGTAGGGGACTATATAGGGAACTGACCAACACATATATTTCTCCCATCATGCACTGCTGGACGAGAGGGATACTCCCACTGGAATATACCGTTAAGTGGATTATCCCTCCATGGAGTAGAACTTACATTTTACATTAAAATACATAACTTTAATAATATTCTCCTGATTTACACAACTACGTTTGGTAGATAGCTGGGGTCTGAGCGCACAGTTCGTGAGAATACCGCTCAGATCCCAACCGAACGCCGCACAAAATACACATTATTTTCCAGTCACCTTTAAAGTACTGATTACTATTAAGGGAACAAACTACCGAACGCCTGGGGCTCCTGAACAGCCTGGAAGTCCAGCGGTGTTCGCGCCGTTGAGTAGCCGATTTTAGTTCCAGGCACTCAATGACCAAACACAGCTGGGCTAACAAAGGAACCAAGATGGCCAACCGCCGTGTGGTCGGTAGCTGAATGACGACCACCTAGGAAAGCCTTTAACTACCGATTGCAACAATGTTGCAATCGGTTAATGGGCGCCACACGACCTCCTGTGTGTGGTCATCCATTCGGTAGTTTATTCGTTTCACGAACAGTGTTGAAACTCACTGTTCGTGAAACTACAGTATGAATGCTGGGGTTTTCATGCCGCCAGCATACGAATGCCCACTGTAGCGGAGTAGTAGTATTATCCACGGTATCTCCGCTGGTAGACAGAATCAAGCAGGCACAAAGCAGGTAAAATCCAGGTAGCATAGTTACAATCCCTTCCTCCCAAGAACTAGACGACACATAGCTTGGAGGTCAACTGACGTTTTATTTTCAGGTCACGGTATTTATAGGATTCCCCATATAAGGGGTTTCCCTACTGACATTCCAGGGGTGGTACAGTAGGGGACTACATGGGGAACTGAACAATACATGCACTCAGAGCCCAGCCTAACTAACCGAACGCCGCATGAAACACACATGAAATTCAAGTTCTGCTCAAAATACCGATTGACATCAGGGGAACAACCTCCCGAACGGCCGGGGCTCCCGAACGGCCTGGAAGTCCAGCGGGATTCACGCCGTCAAGTAGCCGATTTTGGTTCCAGGCGCTCGACGACAAAACCCCGCTGGGCTAACAAAAGAACTAAGATGGCCGACCGCCGCGTGGTCGGTAGTCGAACGACGGCCACCTAGAAACACACTTAATTACCGATTGCAACAATGTTGGAATGGGTAAATGGGCGCCACACGACCTCCTGTGTGTGGTCGTGCATTCGGTAAGTTATTCGTTTCACGAACAGTGTTTAAACTCACTGTTCGTGAAACTACAGTATGAATGCTGGGGTTTTCATACCGCCAGCATACGAATGCCCTCATTCGCCTGAAATACAAATACAATTCTGCACTGGTCTCTACAGCTTTAGCAAGAATACAAACATACTTATACATTAATAGTCTCTAGTGGCTAGTTTTGCCACACCCTCATTCGCCTGAAATGTAAATACTGTCATATACTTGGTTCTCACAGCTTCAGAAGGAATATAAACATATTTGTTAAGACACCCCTGGCACAAAGGAGTGAAACCGCCGTTTAGTTAAGCTTCCCCTTCCTCAATAATGCAGGCTCAATTCGTATATACTCCAACCGTACGAACTGCAACCAGGGGAATGCGCCAATCTCCCGAACGGGACCCATACAGATGCTCCAAGCTCCCGAACAATAAATCCACGAATCGCGGCTAACAGCCGAACAAATATATCCTCCAAGCGGCTTACGGTTCCAGCAATTAGTCGCTAACCGTGTGTAGTAAATCCCCCCAATAACGAGACCAAGCTCCGCATTGAGGGTAAAACAAGAACTGGCTGTACTGTGGGCTACCCACCCGTATTTATGCAGGTCTCCCACTTGGTGGACACTCCTCTAGGGGACCAAATGGGAGACTAATGGCAGACAGACATATGGCACTTTAAGACATACAGGCACAACATATTCCCATAATGCATCCCAGCTTCCTCCCCTCTGCCCTGGAGATAATTGAGAAGTAATTCAATTATCTCCCAGGACATAGGCAAATCGCCATTTTAAATGAGACAGAAAATACATGAATATAAATAATTATGCAACTACCGAACATATTACATTCGTGCAACGTATCCCCAGATAGCCTGGATCTGAGTGCATATTCTTAGCGAATAGCGCACAGTTCAATCGCCGTGGAATCAAAGTCTTTTACAGTCTTTCGGTATGCGATTGACTCCATGGGATGGCTATCTGGGTCTATTCGTATACTCCAAACTCCCGAACGGGACGGTGTTCGCATGCCTTGACGAACGAGGACGGTCTGTAGTCTCAGCGGTGTCCATTTTTAGTTCCATAGAATCCGCGCCAAACACCGCTGGTCTTTCGCATGGTTTAAAATGGCCGCCGCCTCGTCGTCGTCATACGAACGACGACCACTCTGTATTCGGTCATAATTAAGAGGTGTCTGCGGTTGACCACAACGTTCTAATTGGGATCAAGAGGTTAATCAGCTGCACACTTCTGTTCTGGGTGGCCGTCCCTTCGGTAAGTTCATTCGGTAAAAAAGACAAAAAGGCAAATAGGGGCATACGGACAGGTAATTCCACGAAAGGAAGGCAAACTAGACGAACCAGCAATATTAGTCTTACAGATGAATCTGTCACAATATTCATATAGTGATAGTCTTAAGTGGCTAGTTTTGCCACAACCAGTTTGGTTATTTTGTCTGTAAATTTGAAATTCACTTTGACTTCCTGACAATTCTCCCTTTACTGAAGAGCCCTGACACAGATCCTCGATTTGCTTTTGGATCCCGTTTTTTCAGGTTTCTCCATCACAATGCGTGTTCAGGTCAGGCACAGTCACACCCCTCGCTGCCTCTGATTGCTGGAAGTGGGCCATCAGATGTGCCCTCTGCAATGCTGTAAGCAGATTGTCTCAGCTCTTTACCAGAACCCAACGGTTTGAGGCTCCCACACGGGAAGGGTACCAGCGCAGACTCCTTGCTGGGCTCCATCACGCTCCTTAATGAATTACAATAGACACAAGGAACACCAATGACTGTTGGGAATGGCCGAGAATATTCCATTACCCCTTACATCAAAAGGGACTCCTTACACCATAACCTTATAGCTGCAGTTATAATACACTGTGTGCGGGGAGACAGGGGACCTCCTTACACCATAACCTTATAGCTGCAGTTATAATACACAGTGTGCGGGGAGACAGGGGACCTCCTTACACCATAACCTTATAGCTACAGTTACAATACACTGTGTGCGGGGAGACAGGGGACCTCCTTACACCATAACCTTATAGCTGCAGTTATAATACACTGTGTGTGGGGAGACAGGGGACCTACTTATACCATAACCTTATAGCTGCAGTTATAATACACTGTGTGCAAGGAGACAGGGGACCTCCTTACACCATAACCTTATAGCTGCAGTTATAATACACTGTGTGCGGGGAGACAGGGGACCTCCTTACACTATAACCTTATAGCTGCAGTTATAATACACTGTGTGCGGGGAGACAGGGGACCTCCTTACACCATAACCTTATAGCTGCAGTTATAATACACTGTGTGCGGGGAGACAGGGGACCTCCTTACACTATAACTTTATAGCTGCAGTTATAATACACTGTGTGCGGGGAGACAGGGACCTCCTTACACCATAACCTTATAGCTGCAGTTATAATACACTGTGTGCGGGGAGACAGGGGACCTCCTTACACCATAACCTTATAGCTGCAGTTATAATACACTGTGTGCGGGGAGACAGGGGACCTCCTTACACCATAACCTTATAGCTGCAGTTATAATACACTGTGTGCAGGGGGGACAACATAATAATAATACATTATATTATTGCATGGAGGATGAAAGAACACAAAAAAATAAACACTATTTAAATTCTTATATTTTGTTAGATAGAGATATATATATATATATATATATACAGCCAAACTTATTTTAAAAGGAGGTAAAAAGAAAAAGCAAAGAAAGTTATATTTTGTTTTTTGTGTGCGACTCCCCTGGAATAAAGATTGGGTTGGGTCACACAGAACCGGTTTCCCAGGCTGGCTCAGGTTGGTATTGGGGTTCTGGAGATCCAGAAATGAAAGATGGCTGGAGCTGGTGGCAGATTCTGGGCGCCCATTGCCAGTGCGTGAGGATGTTGGACGAACTCTGTTTTTGTTGCGTGACTGCAGCTTCCTCCTCCAAACAGGCAATTCTTATCTCAAGTAACCCCTTTCCTTCCAACAATCCCAATCAGCGCAGACCCTTACAGTTAACCTGTCAGTGGCCGCTGGCCAGCAGGCAATTACAAGTAGTTCACCAAGTCAGTGGTTTGGGAGGTAGAAGTTTAAAATAAAAAAAGTAAATATATAACATACATAGACACATTCAGAATAATTAGAAAGCAGTTGATTACTAAATCCAACGTGCACATTTGAGTAGAATCCCAGCTTCTCTGTTGGATTCAGAAATTGTTTAAACACACAGAACCAAAGATGCCGTCATGGCTGCGTAACGTGCTGACATCACATACTGTGTCATATTGGAATGGTGATATAATTCACGTTATATAACATAGCATTTGTTACAGTTTTTAAAAGATAAATTTAAGCCAATTGTCAGATTTCTGGATATCTCAGTAATGTACGAGAGCGTTTTTTTTTTATTTATTAGTGCAATACATGGGATAATCTGTTTATATTCTGAGAGGCAATAAACAGAGGAGTTATTTAAACACAGGGACTGCGTGTGTCTAGTTCCCCTGCTCCCCGAATTTAATGTGGATTATAACGGAACCCGACATTAAAAAGTGGGCTACCGTACAGTCCTTGTGTATCGACATGATGTAAATGCTTTGTACTGAAACTCCCATCAAGGATGGAGAGAATTAGAGTTCACAACATCTAAAACACAAACAATAGCTACTGCTTGGCCGCAACCATAATGAGCCCCTCAATACAAAGCATATGTAAGGAAACCAAGTCTATTTAAACCTCATTCGGTAGTTTCCTCCCGAATCGCCAGAGCCTTAGTGATTATAGCCCTCCGTTCGGTATATAAAGTAGACGAACCGTATAGTAATCCCAATAGCTTCATAAGATGATTCCCTTAGTGAAACACACAAATCCCCAAACATCAGCCAAAAAAAAGAAGAAGGTGTGAAAGATTTCATGTACTTACGTGTATGCCTTCAATTGTACCTTCTCCCTGCTGTTCAAATACTTATAATAGGTTGTTAAGTATGTGTTGAATAATTGTATTCGTCTACCGAACGAGAGACCACCTACCCTGGGTAGCAATCAGCATTAGAACATGGAGAAAACCGCAACTTAATTGCTCCTGGGTGGCCGCCATTCAGCACACGAACACGTGGCGAGAACAAGGGATGGCGGCCATCTTAAAACTCACGAACGTGGTCAGCGGGGCGTACGCATGAATTGCCTGGAATGTGGAAGTCCTGGATGTATACGTTCCCCTCCACGAATCAAACTGGCATTCGGTAGATAGAATCTACCGAACGAGGGGAACATTCGTATGTAACCAGCTGTACCATACGAACGGTGGTTTTCGTGTAGATGGACGCTAACAGAGACCGTCTCTTGCTACTGACTTTATGGAACTCTAGCTTGGATACCTCCACATGGCGAGCCGGTCAAAACTTCTACACGATGCGACACGGAAACTACCGAACGGAAATTCGTGAGATTTGGATATGTGAATACCAGTATCCTCAGCTACCCAAATTATAGTTGTATGTGTTATGGAAAGTACTTTTCTGAAAATTGTTAAAATGTATAATATTTATGTCCAGCAGACAATTGAGCTTTGTGTATTGCTGAAACTCAATTATCTAGCCTGGCCCAGAGGAGGAGTTTTGTATCACATAAATTGTGTGTCCTGTGTGCCAGTAAAATCAGTCTTGTTCCAGCATTAAGCCTTGGCTCATGTGTGGATTATTCGGCGATTCCAAGGATATTTCTACTTGTGGAGTACTGGGTGATTTTCTTTTATGGGAAGAAGGGAATGCTTGACGGTGATACCGTATACTACCATCACAGAAGGGTACAACTGAACTGAGCTTTAAATGATTGCACACAGGCTTTTATGCAAGTCCCCATGTAAGGGGACATCCCCCAGGGAGGGACAAAGATTAACCAATCAAGTACCGTAAAAACATAACACACACCCACACTTCCCTCCCCTAGCTCTGGAGATAAATCAAGTCTGATAAAGTAATAACTTGATTATCTCCAGGCAGAAAAATCTCATTTTTTCCCAATAACTGAAACACCCTTTTATACTTGGGGTATCCCCACAAATAACATGTCCCCTGATAGCCCTGATCTGGGTGACCAACATATTCAAATTTCACCCAGATCGGTTCAGGGGTTCTCAAAAACTGTGGAGGTCTTCTGTGACCGGCTCACCCTGGGCTGGCTGCCCACAACAGTTCCATGAGTTTGGTGGGTTTTGCCGAATGGATCCCCCTGGCTCTTAGCAGCGATTGTTCCCCTCTGTCGAATGCACCAAAGTACCGAATAGCGCTCTTCTAGCTATTCGGTAGAGTTCCAGCGTTTGTCTGTTTGAGACCGGTGTTCGGGAAGTCGAGTGTCTGATTTTAGTTCCAGACACTCGACGACCAAGTCCCGCTGCCTTTGTTCACATGAACAAAGATGGCCGCGGTTTTCTCCACCATGTGGCGTTTGGCAGTACGAACGCTGGCCGCACAGATAGAGGGATCAATTGAAGCAGTCTTTGAAGTTTAACGAGCCAGGGGGGTGGTCCTTGTTCGGTAGTTAAATCTACCGAATGCAACAGGGAAGAAATATTATAAAAAAAAGGAGATTTCTTCACAGCATAGAATGCTGTAAATGGAAGTTTTAATGCAGCGCTCAAACTGACACATGGTATTCCCAGCCCTGAGATCCACTCTAGGCAGTCTCCACTTCGTCTTCTCATAAGGAAACATTGTATCTAGTGATTGCCTAGGAGAAGCACCTGAGGACGTTTGATGTCTTTGTGTAACGGAATGAGAACGTCAAAAGGTCTCATAACGGAGTCTGACTGTTATAGCAGCAGGGGCGCCCTCTAGTGGCAATAAACAAAACAAAAAACCCTCAGTCTCAAGAGCTGTGTTTAACCCCGCAATGTAAGCTTCGCTGTGTCTACAGAAAGGAAAAGTTGTACATTGAATGGTTAAAATGACAGGACCATGGCATTGGGGTAAGGTGTTCTGGCTGCCTATCGGTCCCTTAAAGAAGGGATTTCTCTTGTGCGGCATGTGAAAGCTCCCCGACAGCACTTTTCATGTGGAAACCAAACACAGAAGCACAACACTAGCAGAGAATACAGTTTTTAATCTATCTATCTCGCGTTAAAACAGCAGCAGGGGCCGGGTCGGTCTGCCACGTGGGAGACTAACTCAGTATTCCAGCTAGATTGCAGCCATTTGCCCTTATACTGAGATCCAGTGACTACTTACCAGCCCGCACTTACTGCCGAGACCGCCCCCATTAATCTGCTATCACAATATATGATCAGCATTGTTCTCTATATACGCTGAAATGTTGCTATAGGTGACTAACTGTACATAAAAAATAACAGCAAAACATAGAGAAATGGAGCTAACCAGCAATACAGCACCAATCCAACGCTACAGCTAAGCCACTGCGATCCTCCTGAACCACTCACTAGTAAACAATCTGTATTTAGTGAGATTTACACACAGAGCCGCAGCAAGCAATACAGGTAGGAGAGCAGATACACGGTGAAGACAGACCCCCAACATTTCCAACAATCCTTCCTCTGGGGTCCACTAGGCATTCCCCTGCGACAAACTACAAAATAGGGGTGACAGGCGTGAGCAAGGCCAGAACCCAGAGTACAAAACCCAGGACCCCAAGTACAAAACCCAGTACAGACCCAGGACCCCCATGTGCAAAACCCAGTACAGACCCAGGACCCCCGAGTACAAAAGCCAGTACAGACCCAGGACCCCCGAGTACAAAAGCCAGTACAGACCCAGGACCCCAAGCACAAAACCCAGTACAGATCCAGGACCCCAAGTACAAAACCCAGTACAGACCCAGGACACCAAGTACAAAACCCAGAACAGATCCAGGACCCCAAGCACAAAACCCAGTACAGACCCAGGACCCCAAGCACAAAACCCAGTACAGATCCAGGACCCCAAGTACAAAAGCCAGAACAGATCCAGGACCCCAAGTACAAAACCCAGTACAGATCCAGGACCCCAAGTACAAAACCCAGAACAGATCCAGGACCCCAAGTACAAAAGCCAGTACAGATCCAGGACCCCAAGTACAAAACCCAGTACAGACCCAGGACCCCAAGTACAAAACTCAGAACAGATCCAGGACCCCAAGTACAAAAGCCAGTACAGACCCAGGACCCCAAGTACAAAACCCAGAACAGATCCAGGACCCTTGAGTACAAAACCCAGTACAGATCCACGACCCCCGTGTGCAAAACCCAGTACAGATCCAGGACCCCCGTGTGCAAAACCCAGTACAGATCCAGGACCCCCGAGTACAAAACCCAGTACAGATCCAGGACCCCCGAGTACAAAACCCAGTACAGATCCAGGATCCCCGTGTGCAAAACCCAGTACAGATCCAGTACCCCCAAGTACAAAACCTAGTAAAGATCCAGGACCCCCATGTGAAAAACCCAGTAAAGATCCAGGACCCCTGTGTGCCTTCACACCGCACTAACCGATTATTATTCACATTTATTATAAAATGCAGTAACTGTGAAATCACCCAATACATGGCTACATACCAGCATTCCAATACATGAATAGTGCTGCCCTGTGTATGGTTTGTGAGCGGCTTCCTTTGGGTGCCCTGTTTGAATAAGCAAGCATCTGAATGCTGCATACACATTTCATGTACTGCCCCACAGGATGCAGAATGTCAGAGGGGCCAGGGTAATCAGACATTGTACTGTGTAGGCAGGTAATATGGTAATCAACGAGCCCAGTTAGAAGCCATGCTTGCCCTAATTAAACTAATGAGGAATGCAAGGAGGAAGATGGAAGGTTTAAAACTGACCTTTTCATTGCGTCACAGGCTCTGCTTCCCATTTCCAGCTCTCCTATTGGCTGTCCTTGTCTAAGCTGCTCCGCAGGGGCTGGCACCCACAACTGACTTTCTGTTACTGTTTCATACAGAGCTGTGAAAAATGGAGTAAACATCAGCCAATCACAGAGCAGCAGGAAGTGTGACATTGTAGCACTTGCAGTTTGGTATGAGACAGCCAATGAAAGTGTGCAACTCAATGACTGATTCACGACCCAACCAATAGTAGGCCAGGAGGAGGGGGTAGACGTATGATTGAGCAGGTGAGGTCAAACATGGTAAAATAGACATATTGAGATCAGTGATGTAAACAGAACCTGTGACATCATGCGTAATGTCAGTAACCTTGAATTCCTGACAAGTCGCACTTTGCTGAATAACGCGATTACCTTGAATTCCCGACAAGTCGCACTTTGCTGAATAACGCGATTACCTTGGATTCCCGACAAGTTGCACTTTGCTGAATAACGCGATTACCTTGAATTCCCGACAAGTCGCACTTTGTTGAATAACGTGATTACCTTGAATTCCCGACAAGTCGCACTTTGCTGAATAACGTGATTACCTTGAATTCACGACAAGTCGCACCAAAATAAGCAAAATGAAAGCATAGCTGACCAACTGGGCCCTAAATTTCAATCCAGTAGAAATTCCTGACAATACTCACTTTAACAGATAATATAGGTTGCAAAAAAAAAAAACCAAACCGAACCTCTAGAAACCTTCATACGTCTGTGCCTGTCTTTCATTTAAAAAATAAATAAAAATTAATTCCCCGTCTGTCTGCAGGTTCTTAAAGGGACACTCCACTGCCCATATCCAAAAATAAATAACCGTTTAGTATATATACCCCAAATTAAAACATCCATACATTTAATTATGCATGTTTTCATTAGGGTGTATTTAAAAACAGCTAGTAAAACCTGCAGATCTCTTATCTGCAGCCTTTACAAGCCCTCCCCTTCTTCCCCCGCCCAGACTTTGTGTCTGTCCAATCACAGGCTTCCCAATGCAGCTCAACGAGAAGTCTCTGCGCAATTGCGGTCTCTTGAGTTTATCTCCACCGAGCAAAACAAACCAGGAAGTAACAGGACTGTGTGTCTGATTGACAGCCAGAGGAGTGTAACAAGGTTCAATTATAAAAGTACCAAATTATATCAGAATCTGTACTTTTTGTAAAATGAAATAAAGAGGACACTTCACACAAGGCTTTTCGGTAAGTTAAAGAGATTTACCAGTCTGTAGTTTCCCTTTAACCCCTTAAGGACACATGACATGATTCCCTTTTATTCCAGAAGTTTGGTCATTAAGGGGTTAAATGAAAACCTGTAGTTTATTTTCACAGAGAATGTTTGTAGATCACTGCTGGAGTTAATGAAAGGTGTGCATGAACATGTCAGATATTTCTCTGAAAGATGCCCAGGGCACAATGTGATGGTGATCTCACCACATTAGTGCAGCAGAGTTTAAACGTACTTATTCACCGCAGTAAATGCTGAAAAAGTGTTTTTCTTATGGGGAAGTCTATAAGTTATACAGGTGCCTTCTTACCTTCAGGGCAACGGTTTAACTCCGAAGTTGGGGCTCAGGTGTCGAGTGAATGTAGACTTTACAATGATGTAGTGCTCTAATATTTTCCCAGATATAAGGACTATTTCGTGCAGGAGTTAATCACCTTGTGGGGGACATCATTCACGATCAGTAAGCCATTACCCGAGTTATGGGCTTATTGCTAAATAATGACATTTGAGATTGCATTTATTTTGAACGATTTTCTATGCGGACATTGAATAAAGAACTAAAATGCTTCTTCCTGAGCAGGAATTCTGTAATGATTTTTTTTCTAAACTGGGTAACATTAGAAACTAGTTAGCAGATTGGAATATAGTGACAAGGATTGAATAAATTATCTACACACTCACACAGAATAGATATTTACAGAGCTCTTGCAAGCTAGATTTATTTTATTACATGATGAGCTGTTCGGATAAAATCAGATCCCAGGTACAGCACAGCCACACCATCCTTTAGATTAGTGCATATGAGCTATTTATCAGCCCAGATTCATTAAAAGTAATGTGCTGCAGTGGATATGGTGCCAGGAGCATTCACCCCCCATTTAAGTAATCAAACTGCTTTAGAATACTTTGAGGTCTTACCTGACCACCAGGAGCAGTTGCCCACCTCCACTACATCTGCAAGCCAGAAGGTCCCAAGCAGGAGCATCATCAGATCGCATTTAGCCAAAGATCCTATCCCTGCAGTATCACCAGGCTTGGCTCAGACAGAGCTTTGGGTTCTCTGGCAGAGACCAAGTCCGATCAGACACAGGTAAGTGGGAACATTCTAAAACGGTTTGATCACTTATAATGGGTGAAACTTGGCACTCCTGACATCAGAGCTACGACAGCTGTAGTGTGTATGGTGCTTGGAGTGTTCCTTTAAGATGATCCCAAAGAGTAAATCGAAACAGACTGAATGGCAGGGCATTTAAAGCTATTTCCAAAGCTGAACAGGCCACGTTACCCAGCAATCGCTGGGGTATGGTACTAGTCCAGTGACTACAAGTGTATCTCAGCCCCTGCATCTTTCTGACTGAGGAGGAAAATAAAGAGTAATTTGAGAAGGTGGGAACAAATGCATCCAACAGCTTCTGCTCACTTAGACAAGAGTATTTGTTTTTAAGGGGATGGGATGCTGCAAGACAGCTGTCACTACTACGACCACGAACAGAATGCATTGGGTTGAACAATAGATCTAACCTTCCAGTTCTCCTACCTCAGGTAGAAATTAACTAATCAGGAGTAGATTTCACTCAATCAACTGTTTGTAGCTCAATGTCTGTTTAACTTGTACTGATGATCGAAAATAACATTCAATTTTAATCTCCAAGGAAATGAACGCAGAAAGAAATAAATTCCATGGTAAAAAAGATTTCAAGTGATTATACAATTTATTTTTGAAAACATTTAAATCTATACATTTATATACATGAAAGGGATAACTAAAATGAAAACCATAACAGCCTGTTATAGAGCAAAATAAATCATTTAACAGACTAACAGGGTTTGAAATGTACGACACACACACACACAGCATTACATAGGCTGGGTCTCCCAGTCATACATCACGCCCACGTTTCTCAGAAGTTCCAGTTCTCACTAAAGGGAACTCTAAGCACCATAACCACTACATCTGACACTCAGCTAATTAGTGTCAACTAAATTTGGATGAAATGGAAATTCTACAAGAGTTATCCGATGAGTAAGGGGCCTGCGTTTGCAGCCTGAAGCCATCTTCCTTCCATGTACTTGGATACTTGTTTTGAGGCTGACTAGAGAGGTGATGCTGTAATTTCCCAATACCTGTGTGAGCAGTCAGCACGGGCCTTTAAACCATGGATACCACTACAAAGCTCTACGAACATTACAGGAAAACTGCCACGCGTGTATTCCTGTATGTAAATACCATTTCCTTCACATATCTACAGGCAGGAAACTAAAGCTTTGATGCTAGAAGAATCAGCAATATTTATCATACCCACTCCCGGCCAGAAAAAGGGCAAAATATGTTTTAGGCGAAGAAATCAGAAAGACAACAACTATTTATTCTGCTGCTGTCAGTTTGTAAACAAAAAAATTAAATCTACAAAATACATGAACGTTTGCGTATTTAGCATTAAAGATAAATTTAATAAAATATTTTTTAGCTACCCCATGTCGAAGGGGAGGGAGGGGGTGGGTGATCAACTGTAGAACTTCTTTCACAGGAACATGTATTGCTTGCAGTGAGAAAAACCGGGTTTAAATCCTGGTTCACAGCCTTAACGGTGTTATAACTAGTCTTTATGTTTCCATTACTGGCATTCTGAAGGATCTCCAGCTTCAGTATCCGCATGCTGTTTATAAAGTGACAGAGCCTCCGCAGCTCCAGCATTGGAGTTTCTCACTCCCGAGAGGAACAATTCAGTAGTCTTTACGGCAGCGTTTCACATGAGAACAAATAGATCACGTTCAGTCTTTTGCATCTCCAACTCCATCTGCATTTATAGCGAACATGGCCTCCGCCTCCGGAAGGCAAGGAGAGTCATAGATTTTACAGATTCGGGTTTCACCCCGCCCCTTTCTTAAGTATAACCTGAAGGAGAAGAAGACATTTAATTCACAGTACTGCTGAAAATGACCGTAATTGGATAGCAATAAGACTAGTAAAAAAAACACAAAATGAAAAACATGTTAAATACAGCATTCTGATGCCAGCAGTACCCGGCAGCCTCCCAGACTTAGTAACATTACCCATGTCCTACCACTGCACCTGGAAAGTCCTGTAAAGGGGCGTTAGCCCCTAGAAGCAGCACTGCAGTGGTGGCTTAGTGACACAGCATTTCAGAGGTAGTGGCGGCAGAATTCAAGTAACAATTTGACTACGTACTCAGAGGATGCTAGGACCATGTAATGGGTTAGACATTCCCTCTCTGAGATGGGGAGCACATCCTACAAAGTTTCTTTAGCACTAGGTAAAAAATGTAAACAGATTCATTCCAACACAGGAACCTTTACACCAGTGTTAGCCTTTCACTACCTATGGGGGAAGGGTGGGGGCCCTAATACGAATAATGGGGGGACCCCTGGCCAGCACACGTTTCCCTAAATAATATAAAAAAAATAAATAAAAAAAAGGGGGGGTGGAGGGAGTGCCATTGTCTGTCCTCCCAAAAAGTATGCCCCCCCTCCACCCCACAGCAGCTAGGTGTCCTCTATCCCCTAGTCACCCCCTAAAACACTTACCTTCTCCATTTTGAAAACAGTCAGTCCCATAAAAAGCAAAATAAATCCATAATCACAGACACCACTAAGTAAAATAAGACCCAATGACAAAATAAAATAAAAGTGCTGCAATAAAATAAGAATCCATTTTGGCGCATAGAGGGCTCCTTGCACAATCAACGCCGACAGCAGGGAAAGTCCATACATCGGCTTTCTAAAGCTATAACAGCTGTCGCTGGGAGTGTTTCCTACACTTTGCAGTATGACCAAGAGTGCTCTGATTGGTTGGCTAGTAAGCTAACCAGAGAGCACTGACAGCCAAGTCTCGAGAGAAGTGAGACTTCTGCCTGGGGGCCAGGGGAGGTGTGACAATCCATTTATATAATAGGGCCCCCACTCGTGGGTGGGGGGCAAGGGACTATAGGCAAGTCACCCACTTTTTACGACCTCCACCCATAGCCCAAGGCCAGGAGGACACCATGTCCTCCACCATTAATAGTTCAATTAGCTCCTGGTGCCCACAGGTGGGGGCACTGTCCTCCCTCGTATTTTCACAGGCCTAATCCCTAGATGATGGGCCTTCTCTGGCCCTCAGCAGCAATGGCTGGCTAGTCACGCAATGTTTACAATCTCCATTGTAGTAATATCCTAATGAACCCCATAGATGTGGAGGCGGGTTTGCACTGCCAACAGGCAAATAGTTCTTCAAACTAGCAATTCACTGTCAAAAAACAACTGAATGATAAACTGCAAACATGGATCCTGCTGGATGCAGTCGGTTATTGATGAATCACAGATTCCTGTGCTGTATATTGATATGGATATTAGTGGTTAATTGGTTGGACTGACTGAATCCTGAATGCACTTGGCTTTAGCAAATTGCCAATTTAGTTGGAATTCAGAGCACGTGAAAACAGTTGTCAATAATGAGAGAAATGCTGTGAATTCTATACACATAAAATTCACACAAGTTTTGTATCTCTAAACCCCCATTGCATTTTCTTTCCTGAATTTTGTAAAACAAACACTGTGGTAGAAGATCACCTTGTAGTGGATGCATGAGCAATGATATTTCCTCCAATCGGTTTCTTGGGATCAGCAGCAAACATGGCCGCTCCATCTACTTGCGCCACCACCTGGTTTGTGATCACAACCGCTACACCGAACTACAAGACAATAGTTTATTTGGAGATATATACACACATCTCACAGACTTATCCCTTTACTTTCTGCTAGACACAATCAGGAGAGTTGTGACAACATAATTTGGACGGGATTAGGAAGACTCTGCCGCTATAGAGGAATACATCACTAGTCGTTATGAAGAGGATGAAACTGAAGAGGAGAAGCCTGCAGTCCTTAAGGTGTCCTAATTGTTTGCCATTTCTTTTCGATTAACGTTTAGTGGTTATTGTTTAAGTTGTCTGAATACACAACGCAAGCTTAGTCTTACAGCCAGAATCTGTTTAGTGGTAATCACCTGCTTTAATACAAATGCGTGGTCATAACCTTCCAATGCTGCAGGACACCCCTGCTGTAAGACTAATCCTTTCATAATCACTTAAATATAAAACCAACTAATTGGGAAAATTATAAATAGTTTGAAACACACAAGAGTTAGAAGCCCTACCCACCTCATGCCTGCAATAGACATTACCAAAGTGACAGCTAAGCCGAAAGTCTTTAACAGCAGCCCCCGATGAAACGCAGCCGTAGCTGACAAGAACCTACACACTACGGACACAGCAGTGGTAATACTGATCTTAAATCAATAGCCAATAATTCAATGCTTTCATGTTTAATGGATGTTCACCCAAATATGTTCACAGTTGTAATGTACTGAATGACTACCAAAAGAATAAAGAATGTCCTAACTTTTTCTTTTTTTTGAAGCCAAGAAAGCCCCTCTATTGAATGTGAAATCGAGGGTTATTACAAAACAGTGAGGGAGAACCTGTCATGGTATTGGACATTTTAAACCGGGGAGGTGGCAGAAATGTCAGTGATAGATATTTTGAACAAAGGATTAAAAATAAAGACCCTCTCCCGCATATATTGGTATGGGAGTTACAGTGGAGAGCCCTCCTATAGTCTGTCTGTAACGGTGAGTACAGCACGTGAACCTTTAGTATCTGAGATTCATGGAGTATAGGAATAGAGTAACCAATGTCACTATGTAGTGAAGCCAGCACAGCCATGTCAAGGGGCAGGGATTGCTCTGCTTGGGGAAGTTTTTAACGGAGTAAAAAAAAGGGGGTTGGAGGTACAAGGATCCCTCTGTCACGGCAGCACTGGCAATGCTGGGGGGGAGGTATTAATAGAACGGCTCTTAAAAGAAAGACCTCCATTTTGATAAATTATATATTTACTCTCCTTGGCGCTGTTATCAGTTAAAGTGAACTTGCCATGATATCATGATAGCTTCACTTCAAACAGCCCCTTGTGTGATGGAGCCGTTATTACATTTGCTTGTAAGGTTTACTCTCTGGCTGGATTCAATCCGAATTTAAAGCAAAGTTTAGTATCCAGGGAAATTAGCTGATTAGCAACTTCTGTTAATCACATTTCATGAAATCACAAAGCTTTTACCTCATCTGCAAGCCGCAGCAACATACGCAAAAAGCGAGCCAAGTGCATCTGTCGTGCGGAGAGTTCCCCTCTTCCAGAGTAATCTGTCCTGTAAAGCGCTGTTGCACTGTCCACGATGAGAAGTGCGTATCTGTAAGAAGTGGCATCTTTAATGGATTAGACAGTCAGCTTTCAACATGACCGGTCATACAGATTGGAGGAAAAAATGCTGCAAAGTTATTTCACGCTCACTTTGAATTTAAATACAAACATTAATATTTAAAAGATGGTGGGTACAAGGTCTCAAATGATCTCAGAACAGACCAAGTGCAGTGCACGCAGATAGTTGCTATAATATTCTCCGGGTAGAAATATTAGTAGATAACTAGTTCCATCCCCGAGGCGCACACAGTATTACCATTTCCTGTTGCGCCAATGACCGTAAACGTATCAGGACCGTTATTGACATGCAATGACAGAATTTAAATATAAACAGTCAGCAAGAATTTAATTATCTATACCTTGACTCCGCCATCATGGCTGACGCCTGGTACAGAAGTTGGGTCTGATGATCCGTGTTGAAGGCTCGAGCGTACGCTACATTGTCTAGAACATCACTACCAGATAAGCCATACCTAGAAAATAAACAGCTGGTCAGAAGTTTGCAGGTTTATAGTAAATCGTGTTAGAAACCCGGAAAGGAGTCAGTCTAACGCAGCGTCCATGACATATCTGGGTGGGGATCCTTCGCTTACAGATAGACAAGGTATATAAAAGGCTGCTGAAGCTCTACCTGGCATTTCTAGCTGTGCGATCTTTAAAGAGCAGGTTTAGGCCAATCCACCTTTTAATCATTCCCTGTAATTGCAGAGTATTGAGCAGGTAATCCTGTCTGCTCACTACTGCCACAGAAGGGCTCTAGGCACCATAACCACTTTGCCTTATTGTTTTCAAACATCGTCCCTTCAAAGCCAGACCTCAATCCTGTGTGAATAGAAAGAGGTGCTTGTAGCCTCACCTGCCAAAGAACTCACTGTAACACAGTCTGTGTCTGTCAACAATCAACACACAGGCTGCTTCTTCGGTGTTGAAAGATCTCATCACTGATCAGTAATAACCATTTTATTGGTGGCATGTGCTCTTTGTGCCAAGTGCACGATTCGATTTTAATGGACAAATGGGCTAAAAGGAGCTGTGCTGGTACTAGATCACAGGTATGTAGAAACAAACGAGGGCTAACAATTACAAGAAAATGATAACGGCACATGTTTTCATAGAAAGTACCCTTAAAAGAAGACACACGCATGTGCCAGAAAGATCCCCTTGTAATCTGAGATTCAAGCGATCGAGTTCTATAAAACTGTTATGCATTTAGTCTAGAGTGCAGTAAAATATATAACTTAATGTTATAATACTAAATGGAAGGTAGTTTGTCATGACAAGTTTAAAATGCAAAAATTGCTCTGTGACAAACACTCCTTGCAATATATACCTTTCAGCAACTGCAAGAAGACGTTCTGGGCGAAACGTGCCTTCGGTATCGATGTACATGGCTTTTCCTTCACCACCGCCTCGGTCAATGGGGAGCTGCAACAGTGAGAAGATTTAACAGGTGTACAATGTCTAAAGAAAGCAGGGGGGGGGGAGAAATGCGGGAAATGCACTAAAAGTTAATCCTTGAAGACCAGTGCAAGATAAAAATAGCCTTACCTGACATGTAACTGCTAGAGTGTGACACAGCTGTGTCTTGCCGGTACGGAACTCACCAAACATCTCCGTTATAGACCCCGTTTCAATACCACCTGGTGTGGGAGCACAAAATAAAGAAATATAAACACTGGCACACCAATGTTCAAGGGATGGGAAAGGAGAAGAAAAATAAAAAATAAAAAAACATTCAAAACCTTGTGAGAAGTTACTGATAAAACAAAATGTACTTTCAAAACCAGTTATTGCTAAAATTCCAGGTTTTGTTATTTCATTTTATACACCAGAAACAATGTACGAGAAATTAAGATGTAAATAGAAATACTGCTTGTACCTTGCAAGAGTTTGTCCAGCTCTTTGGAACCGGTTGTTATCTGTATGATTTCGGACCGTCGCTGGTGAAACTCTGTTGCTGTAGTAAAGCCCATTGGAACCAGTTTAGCAGCTTCTGCCTTCAAGACAGAGGGCAAACTTTCTTAAATGAATAAAATATACAAAGCCCAGCAGTAAACACGCCTTGTAAACATGCCAAAGGACAAAAACAGCAACGTAATCAGAACCAGTCTAAAGGATCTGAGCGAGAATAGGAATGAGAGAAGTGGTCTCTACAAACTCTGCAGTTCTTTGGAACAGATTTTATTTGAAAATATATGCAGACGAACTTACCAATATTTTATCAGCTTTTGCTTCACTGATTCCTTTTATATTAAGCAATTCCTTCTTTGGTGCGTATGCGACTGCCTCAACCGTATGAAATCCAGCCTCCTCCAGTTTCTTGACATCATTTGCATTTATTCCACATTGCTTTGGAAAGATAAAAATGTGATGTTACAATGCTTTTATACATGCCCCATAAAGGGAAGAATTCAGAGAAATAAAATTCAAGAAACAGAAACACTCCGAAAACTATAGAGAGGTTTGGAGAAACTTAAAAAAAAATAAATAAAAAAAAAAAGGGAATCATTTCTGAAAAAACAAACAAAAAACTCCCACAAAACACAAGAGTGTAGGGATCGACCTGGCGGATATTCAGCAATATCAGTGTTGGCCTATAAAGATACCGATATGGTCGATAATGCAGACCAGCGCCGCCATCAGGGTCCTGGCACACTCTTACTTACCTTCCCAGCAGCTCCCCTGTCTAAATCTTGCGAGTCCCACAGCCGTTAGAGCATTGCCATGGGTTACCACGGAAGGCAGGCAGCGAGAGTTAGAAGGGAAGTAAGAGTGTGCTGGGCCCCCACAGAGAATGTCATGTTCCCCCTCCGTGACCAGAGAGGAGCAGAGAAAAAGCAGGGAGGGAGGACTAAAACAAAATGCTGAATTAAATTTTTTTTTTTTTTAAGTTAAAAATAAAAATGACCCCATTCCAATTTAACACTACACTATTACTACTATGGGGAAGCACTGTGATTGGATCAGACTACCACTTCTGATGATGTCAGCAGACAGTCTAACAGCATGCAGAGTTACAGGTTCAGGCTTGAATACAGTAAGATTTTGCTATATTTATGGAGGCATGAGGGGTCCAGATGGTGGTTTTAACACTATAGGGTCAGGAAGAGGTTTGTGTTCCTAACCCTATAGTGATCCTTTAAAAACGGTAAATGTACAGAATATCGGTAAGTTATCAGTTATCGGCTATCGGTCAGAAAGTTTCTATTTATACAATACCTCCAGACGGGATATGGCTTGGGGCCCAAAGTTCTCCTCCTCGGTTGCCCCAGCTTCATACTGCATTTGCATGGCCATTGTAGGTACACTTCACAATAATGCTACAAAACATAATGAAATAGAAATGTCAGCCACCTAAAACTTCCACAATGTTTGGCTGTAGAACAATGGATTTCAGTGAAACATTTAATACAACACCGCAAATTAACAGAGTGAACACCCCGACAAGGAAAAATCATTCTGTCCGCTTCACATTAACATCTGTCTGTCTCTCTCACACACACTCAGTCTCTGCCTCTCTCACCCTGCCTCTCTCTCTCTCTCTCACCCTGCCTCTCTCACCCTGCCTGTCTCTCTCTCACACCCTGCCTCTCTCTCTCTCTCACCCTGTCTGTCTGTCTGTCTCACTCTGTCTGTCTCACTCTGTCTGTCTCACTCTGTCTCTCTCACTCTGTCTCTCTCACTCTGTCTCTCTCACTCTGTCTCTCTCACTCTGTCTCTCTCACTCTGTCTCTCTCACTCTGTCTCTCTCACTCTGTCTCTCTCACTCTGTCTCTCTCACTCTGTCTGTCTCACTCTGTCTCTCTCTGTCTGTCTCTCTCACTCTGTCTGTCTCACTCTGTCTCTCTCTGTCTGTCTCTCTCACTCTGTCTCTCTCTGTCTGTCTCTCTCACTCTGTCTCTCTCTCTCACTCTGTCTCTCTCTCTCACTCTGTCTCTCTCTCTCACTCTGTCTCTCTCTCTCACTCTGTCTCTCTGTCTGTCTGTCTCACTCTGTCTGTCTGTCTCACTCTGTCTGTCTGTCTCACTGTCTGTCTGTCTCACTGTCTGTCTGTCTCACTGTCTGTCTGTCTCACTGTCTGTCTGTCTGTCTGTCTCACTCTGTCTGTCTGTCTCACTCTGTCTGTCTGTCTCACTCTGTCTCTCTGTCTCACTCTGTCTCTCTCTCACTCTCTGTCTCTCTCTCTCTCTCTGTCTCTCTCTCTCTCTCTGTCTCTCTCTCTCTCTCTGTCTCTCTCTCTCTCTCTGTCTCTCTCTCACTCTGTCTCTCTCTCACTCTGTCTCTCTCTCACTCTGTCTCTCTCTCACTCTGTCTCTCTCTCACTCTGTCTGTCTGTCTCTCACTCTGTCTCTCTCTCACTCTGTCTCTCTCTCACTCTGTCTCTCTCTCACTCTGTCTGTCTCACTCTGTCTGTCTGTCTCTCACTCTGTCTGTCTCTCTCTCACTCTGTCTGTCTGTCTGTCTGTCTCTCTCTCTCTCACGGTGGCTGTCTCGTTCTCTTTCTGTTTCCGTTTCCGGGTCTGGCTGCCGTTTCCTGGTTTCTATCCGAATATCCCGCCAACACGAACGTATTACGTCATCACGTTCTGGCCACGCCCACTGACGCGAAACGTTTAACGTCATAACCTGCGCGCGGCGAGTCCGGACTACATCAACCGGTCACCATGGAAACCATCACCATGGAAACCGCTTACTGTCTGTCACACACTATCTGTATCTCTGTCTGTCTCACTATCTGTATCTCTGACTGTCTCACTATCTGTATCTCTGACTGTCTCACTATCTGTATCTCTGACTGTCTCACTATCTGTATCTCTGACTGTCTCACTATCTGTATCTCTGACTGTCACACTATCTGTATCTCTGACTGTCACACTATCTGTATCTCTGTCTGTCTCACTATCTGTATCTCTGTCTGTCTCACTATCTGTATCTCTGACTGTCTCACTATCTGTATCTCTGACTGTCTCACTATCTGTATCTCTGACTGTCTCACTATCTGTATCTCTGACTGTCTCACTATCTGTATCTCTGACTGTCTCACTATCTGTATCTCTGACTGTCTCACTATCTGTATCTCTGACTGTCTCACTATCTGTATCTCTGACTGTCTCACTATCTGTATCTCTGACTGTCTCACTATCTGTATCTCTGACTGTCTCACTATCTGTATCTCTGACTGTCTCACTATCTGTATCTCTGACTGTCTCACTATCTGTATCTCTGACTGTCTCACTATCTGTATCTCTGACTGTCTCACTATCTGTATCTCTGACTGTCTCACTATCTGTATCTCTGACTGTCTCACTATCTGTATCTCTGTCTGTCTCACTATCTGTATCTCTGACTGTCTCACTATCTGTATCTCTGTCTGTCTCACTATCTGTATCTCTGACTGTCTCACTATCTGTATCTCTGTCTGTCTCACTATCTGTATCTCTGACTGTCTCACTATCTGTATCTCTGACTGTCTCACTATCTGTATCTCTGTCTGTCTCACTATCTGTATCTCTGTCTGTCTCACTATCTGTATCTCTGTCTGTCTCACTATCTGTATCTCTGTCTGTCTCACTATCTGTATCTCTGTCTGTCTCACTATCTGTATCTCTGACTGTCTCACTATCTGTATCTCTGACTGTCTCACTATCTGTATCTCTGACTGTCTCACTATCTGTATCTCTGTCTGTCTCACTATCTGTATCTCTGTCTGTCTCACTATCTGTATCTCTGACTGTCTCACTATCTGTATCTCTGACTGTCTCACTATCTGTATCTCTGTCTGTCTCACTATCTGTATCTCTGTCTGTCTCACTATCTGTATCTCTGACTGTCTCACTATCTGTATCTCTGACTGTCTCACTATCTGTATCTCTGACTGTCACACTATCTGTATCTCTGTCTGTCTCACTATCTGTATCTCTGACTGTCTCACTATCTGTATCTCTGTCTGTCTCACTATCTGTATCTCTGACTGTCTCACTATCTGTATCTCTGACTGTCTCACTATCTGTATCTCTGACTGTCTCACTATCTGTATCTCTGTCTGTCTCACTATCTGTATCTCTGTCTGTCTCACTATCTGTATCTCTGTCTGTCTCACTATCTGTATCTCTGACTGTCTCACTATCTGTATCTCTGACTGTCTCACTATCTGTATCTCTGACTGTCTCACTATCTGTATCTCTGACTGTCTCACTATCTGTATCTCTGACTGTCTCACTATCTGTATCTCTGTCTGTCTCACTATCTGTATCTCTGACTGTCTCACTATCTGTATCTCTGACTGTCTCACTATCTGTATCTCTGACTGTCTCACTATCTGTATCTCTGACTGTCTCACTATCTGTATCTCTGACTGTCTCACTATCTGTATCTCTGACTGTCTCACTATCTGTATCTCTGTCTGTCTCACTATCTGTATCTCTGTCTGTCTCACTATCTGTATCTCTGACTGTCTCACTATCTGTATCTCTGTCTGTCTCACTATCTGTATCTCTGTCTGTCTCACTATCTGTATCTCTGTCTGTCTCACTATCTGTATCTCTGTCTGTCTCACTATCTGTATCTCTGACTGTCTCACTATCTGTATCTCTGTCTGTCTCACTATCTGTATCTCTGACTGTCTCACTATCTGTATCTCTGACTGTCTCACTATCTGTATCTCTGACTGTCTCACTACTATCTGTATCTCTACTGTCTCACTATCTGTATCTCTGACTGTCTCACTATCTGTATCTCTGACTGTCTCACTATCTGTATCTCTGACTGTCTCACTATCTGTATCTCTGTCTGTCTCACTATCTGTATCTCTGACTGTCTCACTATCTGTATCTCTGACTGTCTCACTATCTGTATCTCTGTCTGTCTCACTATCTGTATCTCTGTCTGTCTCACTATCTGTATCTCTGTCTGTCTCACTATCTGTATCTCTGTCTGTCTCACTATCTGTATCTCTGACTGTCTCACTATCTGTATCTCTGTCTGTCTCACTATCTGTATCTCTGACTGTCTCACTATCTGTATCTCTGACTGTCTCACTATCTGTATCTCTGACTGTCTCACTATCTGTATCTCTGTCTGTCTCACTATCTGTATCTCTGTCTGTCTCACTATCTGTATCTCTGACTGTCTCACTATCTGTATCTCTGTCTGTCTCACTATCTGTATCTCTGTCTGTCTCACTATCTGTATCTCTGTCTGTCTCACTATCTGTATCTCTGACTGTCTCACTATCTGGATCTCTGACTGTCTCACTATCTGGATCTCTGACTGTCACACTATCTGTATCTCTGTCTGTCTCACTATCTGTATCTCTGTCTGTCTCACTATCTGTATCTCTGTCTGTCTCAATATCTGTGTATCTGTCTGTCTTATTCACAGACATGTCGAAATAGAAACATTACTATCCCTGTATGTTGTGTTTTTGTTGCAGTTTAAACATCTGTATGGACTCTGATAAAACCTCCTCTTCAGGCAGAGAATTCCACATCCTTATTGTTCTTACTGTAAAAAAAAACCCTTTTCTTTGCCTTAGGTGAAATCTCCTTTCTTCCAGTCTAAATGTGTGACCTCGTGTCCTATGTATAGCACTGTTTATGAATAGATTTTCAGATAAAGGTTTGTACTGGCCCTGAATATATTTGTATAATGTTATCATATCCCCTCTCAGGCGCCATTTTTCCAAACAAAAGTGTTTGGAACTATAGTGCTAGGAATAACTATACTATAGTCAAGTGACAGAAGGGTGGGGGTGAAATTAGGGGTTACTATAGTAACCTATCGTTCCGTTCCCACCCCCCCCACTGAGTAGAACTGGTTAAAACCCTTCTGTCTGAATTCCTGAATAGCCCTTCAAATACTTTCCCACCACAGGTCCATAATTTCCAGGCAAGGATTTTTAAATCTAGAAACGACATCTGCCTTCCGCCAATACTTTTGTACAATTCCTGGAAGAAACACTATCTTGAAATATTAAATACAGAGGTTCACTTATTCCCACACTTAGTTCCTTAAGTACCTGTGGGTGAATAAGGTCAGGCCCCAGAGCATTACTTATATTAAAGGTTTACTATATAGTGTCAGGAAAACACTTGTTTTCCTGACACTATCATCCTTTGGGGACCCTCACCCTCAGGGTCCCCCTCCCGCTGGCCTGAAGGGGTTAAAACCTCTTCAGCAGCTTACCTTAATCCAGCGCCGGTGACCTCTCCTCCCTCGCCAGCTCCTGAGAGAAGCAGAATGCGCATGCGGGGCAAGAGCCGCGTGCATTCAAACAGTCCATAGGAAAACATTTCTCA